ATTTACTTGAAATGAAGCTGAGAGAAATTCCTATGATTTGTAGAGGTACAAAACGAAATATTTTTTTTATAAATAGAGATTAGATTTCTTATCAGAAACCCCCAAAAGAAACAATGAGTGAAACTAAATAGATTTTTTCAAATCCATCCATCATATTGGCACCGACATTTAGTATATTAAAGATCTGGCATCAGTTTTGTATTCAGTGACCCCCAAAAACCCTCGAATAACAAGTTTCAAGCGATTTTGAAGTTTTTTTCAAAAAGCAATCCGCCATATGGGATCCGCCATTTTGGATTTTAAAACACTAACAACGGATTCGTATTTAGCGAGCCCGAAAATCGAATGCCAGATTCGTAATCAGCGATCCCATAAACTCCCGAGTAAAGAGTTTCAAACTAATTTGATCAATTTTTATTCACCTATTTTCTACTTAAATTTTTTACGATTTTTTTTATCAGTTATGTCCATCTTTGAAGCGCATTTGTAAAAAGACTAATAAAGCTAGAGATGCGCGATTTGTCGCATTGAAAAGAGCACCTCTTTTTCTATAAGAATCAACATAAAAGTGAAAATCTATTTTTTCGGACATAAGGTCCCTTTTAACTGTCCAGGTCACATATTGTTAGAAAAAATAAAAAATTTTTATTTATAGCTTCATATGGAATTTTAATTGAGGATATTTTAATTTTGTGAAAAATTTATTTCTGCAATACAAAAGGTAAAAAAGACAATAACAACCTAAATTTTTATAGAAAATGACTTCACGGTACAAAACCCGCAGCATAACGGCTGTGCAAAATCAAATGTCAGCATCAATTTTAAGTAATTGATTAAGTCAATTTTATAAATTATAAATATTATTGATAATAATATATTCACATATATTATATACATATTTAATTTGTAAAATTTTATATTTATAGCATCCTTTTTAGTAAATATTAATTGATAAAATCTATTTTATAGTTAATTTTTGTGTTTTTCTCAATTGGTCAATTTTCTTCAATTTTTTTGCACTTCAGTTGTTCAAATAATTATATTTCTAAAAGTGTATCTATTCAACTTTTAAAATTTGATCGATTTTTATAAAATAGTCAAATTTTGGAAAAACTACATTTTTTAAAAAAAAGACAAATTTGTCAATTTTTCGGTGTTTTCCTTACTAAAAAACCAATAAAAATCACTAGGGTCAGTTGGGGAAAATGGGGACGAAATCGCTATTTTTCACAAATTACGGTGAGTAGCTCAACGAAGTTGTGGGTACGCCACCTTAGGTTTGTAGCTGTACAACTTTTTGGCAGACCCGCGCCCAAAAATGTACTGCAGCAGCCCAAACGTATAGTCTCGTAGCTTACCAACAGAATGCTCCGCAGCCGCCTGACGAAAGTCGGCTAGGGTACAAAAGGTTTCTCAGTTTAAGCATATTACTGTATTAAGGGATAAAAAAAACTTGAAAAAAATTTGTAGTAGATATTTAATAGTTGAACCAATTGAATTTTTTTTATTTTTTATTATTTCAGTATTTTGTCTCGCATTTGAAAAAAAACAGACTTAAAAATCATACCAATTTTTTTTTCTTATTCCTTATGACTCCCATAACAAAAATTCACTTAAATTTTTAATTTTTTTGAATTTGGTTAATAATGACAAGCTGTACCCATTTACCCCAAAAATTTGAAAACTCAGGGTAAATGGGGACAACTTGTTATTATTAACAAAATTAACAAAAATCAAAAATTCAAGTGAATTTCTGTTATAGGAGTCATAAGGAATAAGAAAAAAATTTGGTATGACTTTGATTTTCAAGTTTTTATCAGTGAGAGACCTTTGCACCGTAGCCGACTTTCGACAGGCGGCTGCGAAGCATTCTGTTGGTAAGCTACAAGACTATACTATACGACTATACGCTCCAGTAAATTTTTGTACGGAAGCGCCTACCCGCCACCTCGTGGCAATCAGACAGGGACTGGTGGTAAAGAAGTTTTTCGCATGGAAGCAGGCGCGCATATAGGCATGCATGCCTACCTGCCTTAGTGTTTCGAGAAGCGTGCTTGAAAATTCGAAACTAGTTTCTTTCGTTTGAACCGTTAAGGTAAGTGACATTTTGAGGATAGAATGCACGTGGAGAATTATTAATTGTTAATTTTCTCTTTATTAAATAATAAGATTAATATTAAATAGGGTCAGTTGCGGTAAATTTAAACGGAATTGCTTAGTTTCGACAATAACGTAAGTTTTTTATTTTAAGAAAAAATACTTCCAGTTTTCTTTTGTATAAACTTATTACTCAAAATTTTTGAGTAACTTTGATAAAATCTCATATGCTACGTGATTTTATTTATTTGGTCCGACATTGAAAATTTGAAAAAGTCTCCTAGATTAAAAAGAAACAACTTTTGCGTCGATATATTATAAAATATACAGCCCAGAAGTGCTGTTCACAATCACCCCGAGTTTTCAAATTCTCGGGGTAAATGTAAACAGTTTAATATTTAATATCTAAATTTTTAAAGGTGAAAAATAATAAGGCATTAATAAGGAACAATTAGAAATTTTTGTTTAAATTTTTAGTTTATTTTTATGCAAATGCAAGACAAAATACTGAAACAGTAAAAAACTTTTATTTTTAATGTTTTATGCATTAAGAGATAAATTGAAGTACGGCATTGACAATTGTCAAAATAAAATATTGCCAATACTCAGAACCTCTTGCAGGTGACGTGAGGTTAAAATATTGGGGTCATACTTAATTTTAAATCTGTAAATTAAGCTGCAATATCTCCTGTTTACATTTACCCTTTGTTTACAAATACCTCAAATGACCCTATTAATATTAATATCAAATTTTCTTTAAGATGGAAGAGATGAGCTTAAAGAGAAGTGTCAAAATTATAGCGAACAACCAAGAAAGATATTTTGACGTCATTGACAATTGTTTAGCAAAAACTGTCAATACATTTCTCTTATTAATTTAATTTTTCCTCAATTTTCCAAAATTTTTATACATTTTCCAGACATGTGGGAAATGTTCGAATATGATTGTGAATCCAAAAATGTTAGAAGTTCCTGCGTATTATCAATATATTTATTGATAATAGGTAAAAATTGAAAAATAAATGATCAATAATTATATTTACCTTGAGGAAGAATCAAATAATGTTGATCAATATGTGCAGCCAGATGTATGTTTGCATCATCCGCTGTCAGCAAATAATTTTCGTCCTCAATCTTGTAACCAAGCGTACTACTCTTTGGATAATATTCCAAAAACGTTGATTTTGGTAAATAATTGTCAATGACGTCAAAATATCTTTCTTGGTTGTTCGCTATAATTTTGACACTTCTCTTTAAGCTCATCTCTTCCATCTTAAAGAAAATTTGATATTAATATTAATAGGGTCATTTGAGGTATTTGTAAACAAAGGGTAAATGTAAACAGGAGATATTGCAGCTTAATTTACAGATTTAAAATTAAGTATGACCCCAATATTTTAACCTCACGTCACCTGCAAGAGGTTCTGAGTATTGGCAATATTTTATTTTGACAATTGTCAATGCCGTACTTCAATTTATCTCTTAATGCATAAAACATTAAAAATAAAATTTTTTTACTGTTTCAGTATTTTGTCTTGCATTTGCATAAAAATAAACTAAAAATTTAAACAAAAATTTCTAATTGTTCCTTATTAATGCCTTATTATTTTTCACCTTTAAAAATTTAGATATTAAATAATAAACTGTTTACATTTACCCCGAGAATTTGAAAACTCGGGGTGATTGTGAACAGCACTTTTGGGCTGTATATTTTATAATATATCGAGGCAAAAGTTGTTTCTTTTTAATCTAGGAGACTTTTTCAAATTTTCAATGTCGGACCAAATAAATAAAATCACGTAGCATATGAGATTTTATCAAAGTTACTCAAAAAATGTGAGTAATAAGTTTATACAAATGAAAACTGGAAGTACCCTACCGAAAGAGTGGTACTGAATTGGACTTGGCTTGAGTTCCACTTCAGTACCACTACCTGATAACCCATAAGAAGACATTTTTAAAGTACTTTAACAATAGTTTTAAAGGTATTGTGGCTACTGAGGGATAGCCCCCTCACTTTTCGCCCCTGACAAGCGGTTTCTATTAAGGTGAAGTTAGATGAGTTTAGCCACGAAGTCAGTCAGCAATTGTTACTTGTTCTTTATGGACGCACTTGCGTTAGCCGACCGGTCAAGGCTTTTTAATTTATTGCTTCAATTACATTTATTGTTAATTATTTTCTGGATCCAATAAATACAAATTGTTCGTTATAATTACTTGTGTCGTGTATCATTATTTGGGCGATCACGCAAAGGACAGTAGCGTCCACCTACATAACCTCAACTACTCCAATATTGTTTGAGGGAAATAATTGCATCTACTGCACAACTAGCTACAAGTGGTGACCCTCGACAACCAAATCAAGTGTCAAAAGTGTTTTCTCATCACTACGAGAAAATTTTTCTTCACGAAGTGAAGTGCATCGACTAAGTATAACGAACACGCCAAATAGTGGATCGGAGCAAGCACGCCGCATGACCGAGAATCTCTCGTTAGCTACTATACGAGAGGTTTCCTAGGCAAACGCTGAAAATCGTATTTCACAAATAAATCTGCAACAATCTTTCGACAGTCAACTGGCGACTGCATCATTCCAATCAATTTCCATGGGAAAAATCCGTTGGAGCACATGGTTGGGAAAGCGGAAGTCAACGCCATTTTTCCTGGTCGGGTGAGCAGCCAAGCTGAGCCAAGCAGAGAAGTTAGTGTCCAAGAGGGGCCTTTCCGGTAGGGAATAGCAGACGACAGCCTAAAGTCACGAGCCATCTTCGCAATTGTCGAATCTAGTCGACAAAATTCGACAATCTTCGGGTTGAGCAGAGCCATTCAACATCATCAAGCTGTGGGGTCCACAGCTTATGACAAGTGCTCCAATCGAGTCAACGCAGCTGAGGCAGTGAAGGATGATAACACTACATAGGTATACGCGTTAGTAATTGGTAAGCGTGTACAGAACTTTATATTTAAAGATTTTCTTTTTCACGTTTAATTAAATGGTTGTTTCAAGAATAGTATGGTAAAAAAAAATAAAAAATAAATAAAAGTTAGAATCATGTTTTCTTTATTCATGTTTGTCAAACAAATCAAAACGCAGGTACCCCACGCCCAAACACAGGTAACAACCCCCCGGGTGCAAGTGGCCCAGGTATTAATACACCTGTGCAAAATCAACCAGGTAATATTCTGCCTGCTCAAAATCAACCAGGTAATAATCCACCCGTGCAAAATCAACCAAGTGATTTTCCAATCGATCTGAATCAACCCGGAAATAATCCACCCCCTTCGAGTAGTTCGGGAAGTAATCAATCGCAAATATTACCGCCCATGCATATTCCACCCCCATCGGTTAATATTGTGAACAATCCACCACCACCGATAGTACAGAATATTAGCTCTGCTCCTAATATAGCAACAGGCACTCATCCCTCCCCTCAATCCTCAGTTAATCTCCCCTCAACTAGACAAGGCGATGATAGCCAGCCCCCACCTCCTCTGGCGTTCAATTTCCCGTCAACTAGCAAAGGCAATGGTAGCCAGCCCCCACCTCCTCTGGCGTTCAATTTCCCGTCAACTAGACAAGGTGTGGGTTACCATCCCCCTCCGCCACAGATGCATGCCAAGTTGATACAAAATACAGCGTCGACAGGGCAGGTGAAGATACGCGAATCTTCAGGCGGGGTATTGTTAGAGGGTGGAGCGGGACATTCAGGGGGCGTGATTACCCCTTCCCAAAAGGTTCAGCTGTCGGAACACGTGCAGAGTGGGAATACGCAAGTGGTAGAATTTGGTGCGGGAATCGTTCGCACTAGCACTATGGAGAACGATACAATGTATGAAGTAGCCTCTGATCAGTCAAGAGTGGGTTCTTCTGTGGCTCTAGAATTAAATCGTTTACAAATGGAATTAACTCGTTTACAGGGTCAAGTATCTTATAATATTCCGAGACTTCCCCCATTTAATAAAACCGACCCAACTCTTTGGTTCGCGCAAGTAGAAAGAATTTTTGATTTGCGTAATATAACCTCAGAATCTGCAAAATTTAATGCAATAAATATGGAATTAGATTCAGAAGCATCTGCGTGCGTGAGAGATTTAATTTTAATGAACCCTACTCCGGAAAACATTTACTCCTCGGTTAAGGCAAAAATAATAGCAAATTTCTCGGCGACGGCAGAACAACGGTTCAAGCAATTATTGAAGGGCAAGTTGACAGTACCGGATAAACCGTCTCAATTACTTGCAGAATTGCGTAGACTTAATGACAATAATCTTTGTCCGGAGGATTTCTTAAAGGCTGTTTTCTTCGAGTATTTATCGTCATCATGTCGATCTATTTTGGCTCCAATGCGAAATGTCTGTCTTGACGAACTTGCAGAGGCCGCGGATAAGATTTATGATGAAACTCAAAATACAGCAAATCAAGTTTCAGTCGTAGATTCAAATCCTTCCGAATTATCGAACCTAATATCTGAATTGAAAGAAGTTTCTAAACGATTAGCGAATATGGAAAATGATATTAAATCATTAAAGAAAAATCAACGCGGTCGCAGTAATTCTAGTTCGCAGTCAAATAGTCGCGATTATCAAAAAGGAAATTGCGGTAACACGTTGTGCTGGAAGCATAGAAAATTTGGTAAAAAGGCCAAGAGTTGCACTCCGCCTTGTTCGTGGTCAGATGATAAAGGGAAATCGTCGGAAAACTAGATTCACATCCTCTCACGGGGACTGTCGGGATGAGTCCAAATAATTCCAAACGTCTCCATATCACAGATGCCAATTCCGGTTTATCATTTTTGATAGACACCGGATCGGACATCTCTATAATTCCTGTAAATAAATTGAACGATAGTAAACTAAGCGATAGGATTTTATACGCGGCGAATGATTCTCAGATTTTTACGTACGGGGAAAAAAGAATGGATTTAGATCTTGGATTAGATAGACAATTTTCTTGGAATTTTTGTGTCTCTCAAGTTCCTCAACCAATCATAGGGGCTGATTTGCTTTCTTTTTATGACCTTTCGGTAAACCTTAAAGAGAGGAAAATTGTCGACATTCATTTTAATCGAAGTATAGACGGTGCATTGAGGGAAGTTTATTTAGTGGGAATTAGCACAGTTGGTAATTCTGGTGTTTTTGCAAAAATTCTTAGCGATTTTCCGAAGGTAACGGGTCTTGCACAGTTCGATTTGCCAATCTCACAGGAGGTGTATCATTACATAGATACAGTAGGTCCTCCAGTGGCGCAGAGAGCTCGTAAGTTGTGCTTAGAAAAAATGATTTTTGCTAAAAATTATTTTCAGAATTTATGCAAACTTGAGGTGTGTCAACCGTCAAAAGGTCAATGGGCATCACCTTTGCATATGCAACCGGATAAAAACGGTTCCTGGAGAGTTTGTGGAGATTACCGGCGAGTTAATTCTGAAACCATTCCAGACAAATATCCGGTACCGTTATTATTAGATTTTACTTCGATTCTTCATAATAAAAATTCCTTTTCTAAGATAGATCTTGAAAAAGCGTACAATCAAATCCCAGTATTTCCTGGGGACATTCCGAAAACTGCTATTATCACACCGTTCGGTCTTTTCGAGTTCCGGGTAATGAATTTCGGATTACGAAATGCGAGTTCTACTTTTCAAAGGTATATTCATAAAGCCTTGGACGAATTGCCATTCGTATTCGCTTATATAGACGACGTTTTGGTCGCATCCGAAACCCTTGAGCAACACGAGGAGGACGTTAAGGCGGTTCTCAGGCGACTCGAGAAATTTGGTCTTCGAATTAATATCAAAAAGTGTGAATTTGGTCGTGAGGAAATTACATTTTTAGGTTATTTAATCAATAAATTTGGAATTCGACCCGATCCGGTTAAAACGGAGGTTATAGTCAATTACCCACAACCAAAAACGGTCACCGAATTAAGACGTTTCCTAGGAATGGTAAATTTCTATCGAAAGAGTATTCCTCATGCCGCTGAATTACAAAAACCTTTAGTACAGTATTTAGGTGAGTCAAAGAAAAATGACAAGACCCCGATCGATTGGACGCCCGATTCCGAAGCTGCCGTCGAAGCGGTCAAGCTTGGTTACTTGGTTACATTTCGCAATTTACTACAAACATCGTTTATTTGCAGGGTTCAGAAAATGTCGTTGCAGACGCTCTTTCTCGGATTGATAGCATTATTTTACCCACTGAGTTTAGTTTCACCGATTTTGCTCAAGCTCAAGCTAAGGACTCCGAATTAGCCGCGCAATTGAAATCAACATCTTCCAGTTTAAAAATGACAAAAATAATTGTCGGATCGAATGACGAGGAGTTGTATTGCGATATTTCGGGGGAAAATTTGCGAATTTTCGTACCTATTATTTTGCGAGAAAAGGTATTTCAACTTTTTCACAAGTTGGCTCACCCCAGTGCAAAAGTAACGAGAAGAATTATTAGCAAAAGATACGTGTGGCCTTGTATGGCTAAAGATATTACGAAATGGGCGAAATCGTGTCTTGATTGTCAACGTTCAAAAGTGTCACGTCATAATATTCTTCAACCAGCAAACTTTGTTGCTCCGGATTCACGTTTTAGACATGTTCATATCGATATAGTTGGACCTCTGCCGGTCAGTGAAGGGTTTAAATATTGTCTAACAATGATTGATCGATTTTCACGTTGGCCGGAGGACATTTCGATTCGAGATATCGAGGCTGCGACAATTTGCAGAGCATTCGTAGATGGTTGGGTATCGAGATTTGGTGCCCCAGAAATTCTCACAACCGATCAAGGTCGGCAATTTGAATCGAATATTTTCAAGGCACTTCTTAGAACAATTGGTTGCAAGCGCATTCGAACAACGGCTTATCATCCGGCAGCTAACGGAATGATAGAACGTTTTCATCGTTCAATTAAAGCTGCAATAATGTGCCATGCAACTAGAGATTGGTCCAAAGTCCTTTCAACTGTTCTTTTAGGAATTCGTAATAATGTCTTGGATATCGGTTCATCACCCGCAGAATTTTTATACGGAACTTCTCTGTGTTTGCCTGGAGAGTTCGTGATTTACGATGATGACGCGCCTTCTCCTGAAATTTTTATCGAGGAATTTAAAAGTCACATGAGACAAGTCAAACCGATACCCGTCGAGCACAGGCATAAATCGAGAGCTTTTGTGTTTAAAGATTTAGCCACGTGTTCACATGTTTTCTATCGAGTTCGAAAAATAAAACAATCTTTGGAACCGCCTTATACTGGTCCCTACAAGATTATAAATCGCACAAGTGATAGAATTTTTGAAGTTGACGTCAATGCTACTCATAAACAAATTTCGATTGAAAACTTAAAACCGGCGAATTTTTTGAAAGATTTAGAATCGAATTCTTCGTCGAATTTTAGGGAAAAAACAAGTTGTAACAACGATCAAGAGAGTAGCGCTTTAAATTCACGGGAAACAAAAACTGTAGAAAATGCATCGAAAAAAGTTGATAACGATTCACGCGATATAAAAAATCTGATAGATAGCGATAATCCGAGAGTAGAAAAAACTAGCGACAAGAAAAACAAAAGTAGTTTAAATTATGAAAATAATTCAAAAACTCAGCATCAATCAATTAATGTTGATGATAATCAACCGTCGACATCGAAGTCAAATCAACATTGCGAAAATGTAGAAAAAAAGACTGACCTAACGATGGTGCAAAGAAAACAAAAATTTAGACCAAACATTTTAAGTAAAAAGGTCTCATTTAAAAAATAAGAGAATTAAAAGTGGGTGGTTGAAACGTTCTATTGTTTGAATTCCCTCAAAGAAATCATTTTAGTTACTTTATTTATGTGATGAATATTAAATATTTATTTCAGATTATTTTTTTTTTATTTTGAGCGTTTCAATCCACAACTAACAAAGATTCTCGCAATAATAATTTTATATTGTTATTTTACGAAACTATAAGACTGACGTAGCTAGCTCAGAATATATTTTTTTTTCAACTATGTAAAGCTTGTAATAAAAATAAAATTCCTTCCTATCCTTACAAAAAACCTAGTGTATATGTCATTGTCACTGGGGGGGAGTGATGTGGCGACTGAGGGATAGCCCCCTCACTTTTCGCCCCTGACAAGCGGTTTCTATTAAGGTGAGGTTAGATGAGTTTAGCCGCGAAGTCAGTCAGCAATTGTTACTTGTTCTTTATGGACGCACTTGCGTTAGCCGACCGGTCAAGGCTTTTTAATTTATTGCTTCAATTACATTTATTGTTAATTATTTTCTGGATCCAATAAATACAAATTGTTCGTTATAATTACTTGTGTCGTGTATCATTATTTGGGCGATCACGCAAAGGACAGTAGCGTCCACCTACATAACCTCAACTACTCCAATATTGTTTGAGGGAAATAATTGCATCTACTGCACAACTAGCTACAGTATATAAGATCAACAAACCGTCTCTCATGATATACGTGTAAAACAGCAAAAAAAAACATAATAGTTTGAAGAAAATTTCTGTTAAGTTTGGATATTATATTGCAATCCCTCCTTGAACAATAGATCCCTAGGTCCTTTGTTGAAGGATTAAAATTTTAACCCGAGTTTTATTGCTTAAAAAATTTGTAATTTTAACCTTCGCTTGACAAGATGCCCACCCAGGGTGGGCCAGACAAATTGAAATTGCCATATCTTCTAAAGTTTTGCCTTAATTGAATCGCGATTTTAAGTCACTGAACAAAATCTTAAGAACTTTCAAAAAATGTAAAAACAAATTTTTAAAAAAAATTTCTTCTTGATTATTTATAACTTTTATCAATGTATGTACGGAGATAACCGGGATGATTCAGATATTTTTTTAATTCTATTTTACAAAAAGACTTGAAATCATGCAGACTTTTTACTGTGAGTGTTTTATGATGTCAAATAATAGATATAAAAAATATTATATTGCATTTTTCATTTGTTTAAACAATTTATTGTTATTATTTATTGACTTTCTTTGTTCTGCACCTAGAAAGATGCAGTTTTTTCTAATTTTGCAATTTATCAAGCGGAATATAATGAAAGATAGATTTGATGTAAAATTATTAATTCAACAATTGTTTAAACAATTATTGTTATTATTTACTAACTTTTTTTGTTCTGCACCTAGAAAGATGCAGTTTTTTTCTAATTTTGCAATTTATCAAGCCGAATATAATAAAAGATAGATTTGATGTAAAATTATTAATTCAACAATTGTTTAAACAATTTATTGTTGTTATTTACTAACTTTTTTTGTACGGCACCTGGAAAGTTGCCGTTTTTTTCTAATTTTGCAACTCATCAAGCCGAATATAATAAAAGATAGATGTGATGTAAAATTGTAAATTCAACAATTGTTTAAACAATTGTTAATTTAGTAAATTTATGTCAAATCTGTCTGGCTATATTATATTCGGTTTGATAAATTGCAAAATTAGGAAAAAAACTGCATCTTTCTAGGTACACTACAAGAAAGTTAATAAATAACAACAATAAATTGTTTAAACAATCGTTTGAATACTAAATTCATATAAAATCTTCATGTTTATTATGTTGAGCTTGTTAAGTTGCAAAATTAGAAAAAAATTGCAACTTTCTTGGAACATTATAAAGAAAGTTAATAAATAGCAACAATTATTTGTTTAAACAATTGGTTAAATAGTAAATTCATATAAAATCTTCATGTTTATTATGTTGTGCT